TCGACGAGATGTCAGATTGACAAGCAACAAAACCGTGAAAAGAGGAGGAACTTCAGCTGATATACCCTTAATTGTTGCTTTCGTCCATACAGTAGCTGACCGAAGCTCCTCCCATTTGGTGGTGTCGTTAGCATCTAGTTCGATGTGCAGTGCCGTATTATTTATTTAATTGCATCACAGGCTTTCCTTGTAGTAACTTTGCATCTCTCAGGTGAATCACATTTCATCGTCATTATTATCTTCAAAAAAAATGAAGACGACAACTATTACTCGCCGTTCGAGAGGAAGCCGTGCTCCTATCAATTCTAGTTCCTGCATTTCCAGTCATCAAATTGCCGCTCTTATGGAGTCTTTTGTGGACAACCGTTCGAGCCTGTCTGCCATTTCTGGTTCCTGCAATTGCAAGCAACAAATTGCTGCTCTAATAAAGGCTCCTCCTCAAGGTCGCCGTTGAGAAACGCCGTCTTTATGTCAAACTGCCTGACAACCATTCCTCGCTTTGCCGCAATATACATGAGAGTTCTGAATATGGTCTGCCGAACAACGGGTGCAAATACTTCGTCGTACTCACTCCCATACTGCTGGTTGTAGCCCTATGCTACGAGTCTAGCTTTGAACCTAACGACCTTATCATCAGCAGTGCGTTTTAGTTTGAAAATCCATTTACACCCCAACACTCGCTTTCCATCGACCAATTCTCAAGCATCAGTGCTATTGATCGATTCGAGTTCATCCAGCATAGCTTTCCTCCATTTGTTGCTATCCGGACCCGACAGCACCTGTTTCACTGTTTTGGGCTCCTCCTGAACCACGTCTTCCGTCGAGCAAGCATACCGAGCCGGTAATTTTCCCTTCGCTGTCCTGGTTGACCTTCTCAACATTTCTTTGTGGTCAACAGGCGGCGTATCCTCCCAGACGTCTTATTCTTGATCATCTGCGGGTAAATCCTCGGGTAAATCGCATGGCTCAACCACAGCCGGATTCTCGGCCACTGCCTTATTCGATAGAGGTACCACCGACAAACCGACATGAATGATCATACTAAGTATCATTAAATTTCTGATCAAAGCACAAAACTGACATCTGCCGCCGTGTTCGCGAAAAATGTGTATCCTAGCCACGAACACACATACTAAATGTATGAGTTGGTTCGTGTCTCATCTATTCCGGGCAAATTATTTTTATCTAGATAACAAATTTATATGGTTTTGACAGATGGGATCGCTGCACATTTGAATCCGCCGTTATGGATTCTCGATCAAGAGTTAAGTTTAAGTTTCATGTCGGTTTGTCGGTGGAGGTACCACTACTTCGCTACACGGAGATTGACCGACTGCTTTCAACACAGGCTCGAAACTGTTCAATAATTTCACGTTCCGACTAATCGTGATCCTCCCAGTTGCAACGTCGATCAGGCATGGCTTCGACTCCTCGCTATAGCCCATAAACTTCAGCTTTCTCGTCTTTTCGTCAAGCTTGCCCTGCTTTTCACTCGGTATATACCTAACAATACACATCGACACCGAATGGGCGAACATGGTCCAGATTAGGCTTTACTCTGTGCCAACGTTCATACGGTGTTACTGGAACCGTATGAGAAGGGGGACGATTTTGAAGATAAATTGCAGTTGCTATAGCTTCACCCCAGAACCGGTCATCGAGCCCTGCCTGAATCATCATACATCGGACCATTTCCACAAGATACCGGTTTTTGCGCTGTTACGTTTAGTTTCGGTTAAAGTTAATATGTAGATGTAAATAAGCAAAATTAACGGTAAAAAACAAAAACGTAAACGAAAAGTTTCCGTGTCAACGGTGAAACCGTATGCTGCATGGGTGCACTGCTTGACAGCTGACTTCATACAGCGGATTATATTGCAGCCGGTTAGGTGCTGAATGCAACCGAACCCGTCGGCTTCCGCTGAAAACAAAGGAGAAGAGTGCGTAGATAGGCAAATCGTCTTTGTGCTCTGAAAAGTTCTCTTGTGTTCGATCGGAAAAAAAATAGTCATCTGAAAATTGTTGTTTGGCCCGGGTAGAAAATAACAGCTGCCGGTGCGGGAAAAGCGACTCACGTATGGTTATTGATCCAGGAGGAAAAAATAAGCTACCAGTGCAAGAGAAGGCAGCCATTGCTGTTGCATACAACGGATCTGTTCGGCCCTCAATTGGTGTTGGCGAGACGGCTGTGTCCGATTGAGATTCTACGAACGGGTGTAGCGAAAACGCACAGATCACTGGCTGCTCATTGACGTTCGTGAGGCATCCAAGCCACAGAGGTCCATTTTGGAGGAATCAACACCGCAAAAAAGTAACACGCTGTAGAAGCTTTTGCAAACCATAAAGCAAGCATTTTTCTCAACCAGACCGAGGTTTGGTGGGAAAACGGAGCGAAAAGATCCACTATCGACTAGAGCGATCCCCTTGGAAAGAAACCCAGAGCAAATTCGCGTGGTATAGCAAGGTTAGGCTAAATCAACCTCTTCTGCAGGCTGACCTACGTTGCACGCATGACAAACGAACTGGCTTGTTTACACAAGGCGAACCGGTCTACATCCGAACAAGAAAGGCCTTCAAGAGAAGTAGGTCACGTGCTGGTTTGTGAGATGAGTCCAAACCTAACCGCAATTGGCCACAGGACCTTTCTCTTGATTTCATTTTTTCCTCTAGCATTCCGGAGTTCGGTTTGCGACCGCAGCAATAGAAAACGGAGAGTGAGCGTTCACGCACACGAACGAGAACATCGGTGGCCGATCGAGACTCGGGCAGCTACGTGCTGACTAAGACGACAGTGTTGGCAACCGGTGTGGACACGAGTGTCCGCGTGCACGGTCGAAGTGAAGCAACACTCGTTCACTATCCGGGCGGAGAAGCGCTGGCTTGCGTGACAGCGGACGAAGACAGCAGCAGAAGCAGGAAGCGAGGTGAGCCCCAGCGATTACGTTCGCTCGCTATCTAGACGGAAATCAAACGGTGTCGCACCAACACGGAAGTTGGTAGTGTCGTACGAGGGAAGCGGTACACGGTGCGTCCACGGCCGGAACGATGAAGTACATTCACCCAAGCAGTACCGGCGATGCAGCTGCACCCATCAGCAGCAGCCAAAGGTAAAAGAAGGGCCCATCGTGAGTAGTGAAACTTTTATGTGACATAGTAGTAGAGTAGAAAAGAAAATGGCAGGGAGTTCTTGAAGAATCGCACAGTTGAGAAAGGAAAGTAGGAAGGATGTTCAGGAAGATGGTAGCCATAATGCACAGTTGTTAAGATGATTGTCATGCCTTATTTTTGATTTGTTGGTGCACATTGCTTTAAGTGTTTGTGATTAGTCCGCCCTATGGTAGTTTTGCTCTACCGCTACCGGGGAACTTGTAACAGCGCTCCGCCATCACCATAAATTTGACGTAGGATTACGTGCTCGGTATCAATATTCGACGACTGTTTTAGTGAAACCACTTCCCCATCATGGAAACGTCTCGTTTTCTGATGACAAAATTACGCTTTTCCAGCTTAAACCGCACGGAATTTTTGGTTTATTAAACAGTTAGTAAAAAAGCGAAAATTTATTTGAAAACTTTCTTGCTTAAATTTTCCAATCGCGAGATATTCACGATCAATAATATAAATTCGAGATTTTTTTTTGCTTTTTTTTATAGCAGTCATGTGGTATTTAGTCATTCCGAGAATTTGGAGTAATTCTGAGCTATTAGGGTGTTCAACACGGATGAGGCTGGCGAGCTGTATGTTGTTTGGAACGAGGGTGATTCGCTTGGCATAGATGACTCACAGCGACTCACGAAGAACTACTGAATCCATTCAGCAGCGGTGCGGCTTCTTCCTCCTTCTTCGGTGAATGGTCGCTTATGTGGACTGCAGCTAGCTGCTTGCGGACAGCCTTCGTTGTGTACTGGAGAACAATGTTCAACGCCATGCGCCGAAAGCACTGCTGCTGCTGATGGCGACCGTTCAGTGAGACCGGATGGAATTCGATTTTGAAATCTGTGTTAGGAAAAGCGCTTTTTGCAGGCAGTCGGTGATAATTTTGATCACCATTGCAACAGTTGGACATTTGTGTAATTTTCAATAGTGACCTATTGAAAATTAATTAAGTGTTCATTTTAGCAGATTTGTAGAAAAATTTCCAATCGATTGGCTTGTTTAGAATTAAAATCCCTGCGCAATGGACAGAGTTGACCTGACTCAAACCTGACCACTTTTCGTAATGCGGTCGATTTATGTTATTTTTAAATTGCACCCCCAATATTTTGCCGAAAGACGTAATCCTACGTCAAAATATACGTTTTTGGACAGACAGTTCTACAATTCGATTTGCAAGATTCAACTTTTGAATGTAAAAACCGAGCTGCTTTTGAATGACAGTTGGCTGACTCTTTGTTTTGAATGCTAAAGACTTTCGACTACCAATAGGTATTTTTTTTAATTTTATTAACTTTTATATGGTGTATGTGTCATCCTTTGTTTTCATGCAAATGAGGCCCTACAATTACACACTTGTATAGTAGTTCAATATAAAAAGTGCTACAACATGGTTTAATCCAACAGAAAAAAAAACCGAAAACGGCATAAGTGTGGGCACTTAGTGCCAAAAGATAGCCAATAGGTACATCATATCGACTTTCGACTTTGAACCTGAACTATATCAAAATCAAATAGGAGGTATTTCACACGCCAATCACAATCAAAATGTAATCTTTTCTCCTAGGAAAATGCTGCACGGGAGCCCCGATAATGTTATACTGAGCGAACGGTAGCAAAAGAACAAGTGCTTCAACACGGAAAGATACCACACTAGATAAAATCATCAGCAGCGAAAGCTGCTGAACAACAACATAAGATAAGAAAGCGTATTCACCATTGGATATGGGACTCGGATACGCGTGATCGCTACCATAGAAACATACTCGCTTGCCGTGGCGCCAGCTTTCCGTTAGATCAATAATGATTTTCTTGACCAGTGAAAAAGCATCAACTGTGCAACTGAAATGGGCGGTAAAGGTAAGAAAAAGCCCGGAAAGCCTGGAGAGAAAGGATCCGGAGATAAACCGGCAGCCGGAGGAGGAGGAGGAAGCGGTGGTGGCGGCGGAAGTGGAGGAGGATCAGGAGGCGGAGGCGGCAGTGCCAGTGCCGGCGGTGGCGAAGATGACGAAGTTGACGAGGAAGAATCGGAAGCCAAACCGAAGAAAGGCAAGGGCAAAAAGGGGAAAGGCAAAGGGAAAGGTTCGTCCAAGTTTCAGGGCGATCTGTTCAGCGAGGCAGCCATGGAGAATGCCTACTACGTGTGTCATAATATTCAGGTGGGGAATTCGATGTTCTCAGGTTGACATTATTTTCAAACTTTGATGAGTTCCGATTGCAGGATGTGCTGAAGTCGCGTGGCTTTGCCTGGCCAGAGGGACAGAAAAAGAAAAAGAAGGGCAAAAAATAAACGCCACCACGCGTGTCCATGGAAACGGATTTTTTTTAACGAAGACCAATACGATTTGGCGGCGACATCGTCGGGTAGATAGCCTATGGGTAGGCGAATGCAACAATCGAACGAAAAGCAAGAATGGTGAGAATCGTGATAGTATGAGTATGTCAAGCTTTATGGTACCGCATGTGTATGCGCTAATCAATTTGTGTATAGAAGCGAATGTAATGCGGGAATGGTAATAAAACAACCTAATCAGCATGTGTTTTGTTTTGACTGCATTTGGTGACTGTTTGCGCGGCGTAAGCAGATGACACTTCTTGCAGGTGATATGCGTCTAGTTGATCTAGAAAAATTCCAAGTACTTTCCATAGGGTCTCCACATAATCAGATTTTCAAATATTTAGCATCAAAAATGTGGTTGAAATTCAACGGTCACTGAGAGCTGCTCAGCGTGATTTTCCCGAATGTAAGTCGAATGCCCGTCCGTTAGTGCGTGAGCGACGGCAACCGTGAATGAGAGAGCGACTTTAAAAGCAACATGATCACGACTTCGACATCGTAGTCTTCACGTCGCGGTTGTTCGGTGCAGATCTCGTCGTGAGTGTTCGTCGCATTAAGGCAAGCAATCTTCCAGCTGGTTCTTCACTAGCCTCCAGTGTCGTGTAACAAGTGTAAGAGCCCGGGGAAAATATGCACTAATTGTCCAAAAGTGTCTAATTGAATTATTGATCAGTAGGTTGTGGTCGGTGATCGTCATGTTAGTGTCGATCACAGCAGGCGCAACGGACGGCTAATTAAAGGCTAATAGAGTTTTCCCAAATAAGGACATCAAACCATACGTTGTTGGCAAATTGATGATTAATTGTGTGAATGTGTAATTGTGAGAAGATTTTTTTTCCTAATTTTGCATCACCTCAAGAGCGGAGTGGTTGATCTAGAAAGATCTTGTTTTCATTGAATACGGATGAAACGGCAGACGTTGCAATAAAAATAGACAGGAAAAGTTTAAACGTAGGAGGTTAGCCACTCTGCAGATTTCTTGCGTAGGAGGAAATTTTGGAAAGATTTATCATCGCTTTTCCGCCCGACTGGAGAGTACTTTCGGGACGAGCGGTAGTTATTTTTAGAACGTTGCATTCACATCGGGGAGGTGGCAGCAATTGTGAATATTCTCACATCAAGCGTCGTGTTTGTTTCAACAGGTTCGGTTGAGAAAACATGGGTAAGATACCGGCCGTTGGAATCGATCTGGGAACGACCTACAGCTGTGTCGGCGTTTGGCAACATGGCAAGGTGGAGATTATTGCCAACGATCAGGGCAACCGGACTACCCCTTCATACGTTGCCTTCAACGATACCGAACGGCTGATTGGCGATGCTGCCAAGAATCAGGTGAGTTAGGTATATCCTCCCAAAAAGGGAAATCGACAATTTGCAATTCATAAACCGCGCTCAGACACCTCCGACTCCATGCTTGTTTGCTTATCAAGAAACCCGATCGCACACTAATCGAAACGGACAGAAGTAATTCGATGACATATTATTAACACTGCATACGGTTATCCCAATATGGGAATAGGTCGCACCGAACCAACATGGACAACTTACTTAGCGCGCTGTGCAACAGTCTTGCGCACATGCCAGCCGCCGCAAACATCTATCTCCCAATCAATTGTTTCGCCTTAAAAGGACTACTGTGATCGCGCTTGAAGCGAGCAACAAAACACATGTTCCGTGCGGATCAAGTTAGCCAAAAACGAAAACTTTCTCAAGGGCCTACTATGGTTGACAAACATGTTTGTTCAGGTTGGCTGTCCCCACGACGTGGATGGTCGGCTGCTCAACACCTAACTAATTAAGTGTGTGACGTGTCACACCAGCCGTAAATATTTCCCCAATTTCCCACGCATCGTTTTCCAAGTCACAATATAGGACATAATGGATTCCACATGGTGGATGCACGACGACGGTGACCGTTCTGGTTTAAATTCCAAAAATAACGCATCTCCGCAACTACTCTACCGGTTTGACCTTACCCCCCTTTGGTTCGAACTTTTGCTTGTGCGGGTTATTTATTCATTGAATTATTTATGATCCGATTTAGAAACGTCTCATGCAGTAATTATTTGAGTTCTGCGTCAGATATACTAGAATGTTTAGGACTGCAAGGCAATTTATGAACCGATATAGACTAGGTCAAAAAATCTTTAAGGGTAGGTTCCGAAAGCTTCAGTTCAGTTCTATGACATTCAGGAAAATTTTGAGAACTTCCGGTTCGATCGATTAACTTCATAATAATTGCTGGACCTTTACAAATGTTCTAAGAACAAAGGCTAGAAAACTTTAAAAAAAATAAGAAATTAAAGGAAGTTCCGAAAACATCAAGAACGTTCAGAACAACAAGGACGTTTTAAGATCTTTAGGGTTGGTTCAGGGTAAAGATTGTACTCGAAAAAAATGCAACACTTTCTTTTGTGTATAACTTTTTATTACATGAGCATGCAATTGATGAAATTTTGAGTAAAACTAGATTAGAGTGTAATGTTTACATGTGCACTATCTCGTCACGATCTGTCAAGTGCTGTGGTGGTCAAAAAATTATGGGAGCGGTCGTGGAAAATCCAGGCCAGTTCCACAGGTGGATCGCGAAACAGTTTGGAATCGACAATTCGACCGTGTCCCGTGTGGTAAAATCGCAGACCCAGGCGACCCAGCGGCGAGCTGGCAGCGGAAGAAAAGCGAAGACGACCGACCCCGTGAACGCAAGGAAGGTGAGGGATTACTTCAAGTGCAATCCGAACCTTTCGATTCGGGACGTGACCAAGAAGGTCAATTCTTCCATCTGGTTCGTCCAGCAGACAATGAAGCGGGCCGGACTTCATGTCTTCAAGATAAGGAAGGCGCCTAACCGAACCGATAAACAGAATACGGTGGCCAAATCCCCCGCCAGAAAGCTGTACCGCGAGTGGTTGGTGCAGCCGAAATGCATCGTAATGGATGGCGAGACGAACGACGGACGACAAGCAGATCCCCGGCCTGGAGTTTTTTGTCGGCAAGTCCCGGAGAAGTTCCGAAACAAGAAGGTCGACAAATTTGCCAAGAAGTACTTAGTGTAGTAGGCGGTCTGTGGGTGCGACAAAGCAAACTGTACATAACGACCGGCACCATCAACGGCCCAATATATAAAGAAGAATGCCTTCAAAAGCGGTTCAAGGTTATCAGGGAAATACTGCATCATGCACTTATGACATTGTAGCCTGCATGTTTTCCCTAATCTTCGCACCATGCACACCAATGCACAGTGGTCCAGGAGTGCAATCTAGGGGAACTCAAGTAATAACTCCAAAACGAGTTATTTTAGTGATTGTGTTCCTTGAACAATGTTTTTTGAAACGAAAATCACCATCTTTTGGTACAAAAAAGAAATGTACTTAACTTGTACTAAACTACTATGTAACTTTAAAAAAAAATTGTTAGTGAGTTAGTGTATTTGACAAAGTTGTTCTTTAGTCAACAATGTAGTGTTGTCTGGCATTTTTTGTATTTTTAAAGTACCCATTCTTTGCCAGAGATACAATCCTTATTATATGCTTTAAGTTTAAAGTGACGGAAGGTTTCTATTTTGAGAACGAATTGAATGATGCCATGACGCATTATGCTAGCACTCAAACATTTCACGCTATAGTCTAGCTAATAGTCGTGGGAATCTTCCACCCGTTCTTCGTTAATTGGAAGGTGAAAATTAGGAGAGGTATTGACAGTGGCACAGTAACTGGAGTAATTTAGACTGGTCGATGCTGAGCTAGAAGTTATGGAGACTTTTAGCTTTCAGAAAATCATATCTCATAGTCTCCCGCAGAATGTGTTTATCTAAAAGTGAACAATAATTTCTCGTATTTGGAACATTTGCCGCTCTTCTTCTAAACGATCGATTTTCAACCTGGGGTTCGCGCAAACCCCCACTAAACGAAAAGCACATAAAAAGAAGCGATGTAGAGTGAGATTGATCGGTGGGGAAACATTGAGAATCGATGTTCTAAACGATAAGCAAGGCTGGATAAGATCGAAATGGCATATCCCTTTTTTGTTAATGTTGGAACAGTTTAATCACTACAAGCCCCTCAATAAGCCCTAGGTTTTCACCCTAGGAAAAGCACTGTTGTAAGGTATCCGAAACGGTTGTGGTATGTTAAATGAACTGTTCTATTTGCATAGTAAAAACAAGTAATTGATGTTCTTTTTTCCCTCCTGCCAAGCTAGGCCGACTTCTCCGTTATTATATCGTGTTACACGAGTAATCTGGTTGTCTCTAACAGAAAGGTAATGAAGCAAATGAGTTGCAATCGTCAAACATCAGCTTGTCATTGTCGATTCCGAAACCTAAAATCACGAAATATATGTAGTATTAAAAAAAATCATTAACAACCAGCAGGATACTCCCTCAAGTCTCTCGCCAGTACAGCGCAGTCCACCAATGTATGCTCCTCACGATGGTCAGGTCCACAAACCCAGCAGCTGTAGATTCACCCGTGGCTCACTAGCAAAAGAGCAGCGTAGATCCGGTTTCCTATACATAGGATGAATTCCACAGTCCAACGAATATTCTGCCTGCTCCAAATAGTTTGCTGGAAAATTGTTTACTGTACTTTGACTATATGTTTTTAGTATTACTTCTACGTGAAGTCAACGATTTACATAGTTGAAGATGCTCGAGATCGTCAAGTCGACGATGACAGGAGCACATATCGTGGTAGCGGTAAACAATAGTTGCAATTTCCAAACCTACGACTGGATGCCTTCCTTCAAATAACAATTGAAGTGCGGTAAAAATCGGTAGAACTGTTTCAAACACACAGTGGGTACTTGAACGGGTCGGTTTTCATCTCTTTTTGCCAGTGGTGGCGGGGGGGGGGACACCCCTCACCATCCCTCTCCAAAGGGGGAGTTTGGTAAAGAGAGATAAAAAAACCGGTTTGTACCTTCCTTAAAAGTTGTCCTAGTTCGCTATTCTAATATCTATATACAATCTTCACACTGCCGTACTCTAACGGAACTATCAACTCTATGCTTTCATCTACTCCATCTATCGTATAAAAATTACCACTACAGTCTGTTGTTTACTGTGTTATTACTACTATTTCATAAATCAAATTAAAATATTTACCCATTCACATTCTTACACATATCATCTCGCTTCTTCTTCTTATTTGCATTTCAACCTTATTGCTTACTGCATATTAGCTTATTGCGTGCTCTCAACTTAGTGTTCTATAAATGCACTTCCTCAGTTATTAATTGAGAGCTTTCGATGTCAATTACCAATGCACGAGTTTGGCTATGCCCAACCCGAAAGATTTCTTCGACCGGACCGGGAGTCGAACCCATATATCATCTCGCATATCATTTAAATTAAAACAGGGTAAACTGTCCCAGGGTAAAATTAATATAAATTCCACTATGTACGTGTCGTCAAAGTTACAACAACTACACTAGCAACCGGTCACTACGATGAAAATAAGCCAGGATTGAAATTACTTAAAGATACTTAATACCCCGTACAGACTATGGCTTATTTCATGTAATATAGCCTGTCTTGCAATGAGCAGTCATACATCTAGTTTTCACTGGAAATCATATGATGAGTGCTCATTGCAAGATAGCCTATATTACATGATATCAACTATAGTCTGAACGGGGTATAAGAATACTTATGACAGATTTAATAATATTTATGTGATATAAGAACTAAAGTTTATAGTACGTTCAGACTACAGAGTTATAACATGTTATAGCGCTATCTTGATGGTGGTTTCTGTGTTGCAATTAGTTGACAACCGTTATAACATGTTATAACTCTCCAGTGTGGACAGCGTTTTAGAGTGAGATACCCCTACACTGAGAAAAAAAAAAAACCATATAAGGTTTATGGGTGACCTGATATCGATTTTTGCAATACTGCCAGTGGAAGCATAACTGTCTCATATGACATTTTGACTTTTTTGAGGTTATGATGCTTAAGGTTATAAATCAATACATATTTTTAAAATATTATATTAAGACATGCTGTTTATTCTAGAAAAAAAAATGTGAAGTCGTTTTGTCCCATTGCAAAAATGGACGCATATCCGTCCCACTGCTCCAATTTTTAATATGTATAAGAAATTCTTCAAAAGTTATAGTCTGTTACCCAAATAATACATCGTAAACATAAATTACAATCTCCAAGCGATTACCCAAATCAAGACCAACAATTGAAAGGGCTTCAACTTCATATTGTAAACAAACCTTGTAAGACCATTTTGTCGCGAACTGAAACCTACATTCGCAAACCTAGAACACAATCGGGTAGAGAAGAATTTCCTCTACCTGTTCATTTTGTTGGTTTGCGTTGG